TTCTAGTAACAAAGAAGTTTCGCTTATTAAGTGTTGGGTATGCCAGTATTATCCCTAATCATGTAATGCAGACAAACTGCAGAAATAATGTTCATGTTCAATGATTTGCGTCTGTAGTCTCACAAGGCTTATAGAACATCTGTCACGATGCTTTATTATATTATATTTTAAAACATTTAAAATGACAATTATTCAGATTCTAAACATTATATGAAGGCCTATCTAGTAAACAAACATTGATGTATATTTAATATAATGACAGCAATTTATACTTTATAAGTCAATCTGCCAGGGCATTAATGCAATTTCACTGCTATTTTTAGAGACGGTCTCACATTGACTCAATGTTATTTACTTGTTATTTTCTAATTAGAGCTTTGAAGTTGGATGATATGGTTAGCAGAGCAGAGTCTCTTGATGTACAAGTCTCTGCATAAATATCTAATAAGAATTTAAAGGGACCTTTCATTCTATCTACATTGTTGTAAGTTTTCTTGTTTAAAAAAAAAAAAAAAAAGTTCAATATATGCTAATGATTCTAAGGTAGAGTTACAATTACTATAGAAACCAATTACGGGAGGAGTGGCAGGGGTGGAGGGGGTAGCATTTGCCGTTCTAGCCACTGGCATGGAGTCCTGGCAAGAAGTTTGTGCTGTGGGTCAATGCTCTAAGTTATATCCAGCCCTGGACTTGCCCACTGGAATAACCCCCACTGTACTCCAGTATCTGAGGACTGAGGCTGACTTGACTATCACACTACAGTGAACATGTATTACCGTATATACTCGTGTATGTAAATTTTAATCCCAAACTTCATTTTAAAACGCAGAGTCGACTTATCCATGGGTCAGTGCTAGTTTTGATAGAATTTTGTACATTGAATGTTGACTCCCGAATGCTGTTCTCCTAGCTGGTTGGGAAGTCGAACGAGCAAGGGTACAAGTTTCAACAGGGTTCACGGGCTTGCATAGCCGACTCAGAGATCCATGCGTCGACGACCATGTACCGCTGCCTGCGTTCGTATATACGAATGGCGGTCACCCAGGGAACGCTTGTTTGTGGTTAACAGTCGGGGTGGTCGGTGATTACGAGGTGTTAACAAGGGGGATCACACAGAGTCTGCTCGGTAACCGAATAGAAGGGGAACAATTCCATTTAAAAGTCGTACCCTCGACTTATCCACGCGTCATAGCATATTTCACAATTGTTGGTCAAAAAACTGCACTCGACTTATACACGAGATCGACTTATATACTAGTATATACGGTATGTCCTTGAGGTGTCTACCAGTGACTGCAGGGTGAGATTAGACAGCGATAATGACAGTCACATTCTGGTTGGCATTGGTGGCAACGCAGTTAATGGCAAACAGACTCTGCTTTTCTTAGTTATACACAGATCTGTGTGGGTGGCCCTTTACACTGGCCGGGCCATACTGATGGAGGTTACAGGGATAACCGACGGCACACCTCCACCCTAGTAGTCTCCATCTGTTAAATATATATATATTGCATGTCCCAAGTGGCAGGACCGTCAGTGGTGATGTTTGTGCTTAAAAAAAAGGGACATTTGTTTGTACTTGCACCTTGGTCAATAGTTGTCAGCTCTCTCTCCTGAAACCAATGGAATGTTCCTGCAGACTGCTTCCAAAATAGGGACTGTCCCTCCTAACTAGGGACAGTTTGGTGGTATGCTTACAGATTTTGGTCCGAATTATATGGAGCATGTGATATACGATTATGACTGGAAGCTGCTAGAGCTGTAAGGATAGGTGAACGCGTGCATACAGCACTGTATTAGATAAGCTGAATAATATATGCACTGGTACAGCTTTGCTTAGTGTGTGCCTGACCGTGCATAAACATACCTAAAGAATCATGGGACAATGATTTTGCCTCGGACACATAAGTGCTCTGAAAACAAGTGCCTTTTATACTAACTCTGTGACACTTATTACTCCAGTAAGCATTGCAATAGCATTTACTAGGGTGAGAGATTGAGGAGCTGCTACGTTTAGAATAGTGGCAGTTCAAATTTAAATGAAACACTCCAACACCATAACCACTATTTCTGTGTCAGGACAGCCCTGGGGCCCCCTCGATGTAAGTGGTCAAAACTTTTGCAAAGAGTTTGATCATAACTCCCACAAAAAATCGGAACAGCGTGGATTGGCCGACTACGGACAGGATGCCCGGCTTGCGTAAAGCTTTAAGGACCTTGCAGGGAGCCTGGCTGATGCTCTGCATGGTCCTAGCGCCCACTGTAGAGCATTCTAGTGATACGCTTGTGCTGCCCAGGGACAGGTCCCTGATATTGCAGATGTGGGACAACGGGGAACTAAAACGGGAAAGACATAAAACATAAAATTGGGACTTTCCCGACAAAACAGGACTGTTAGGAGGCCTGGTTTGACAGTTTATCTAGAATGCTGAGTGTTAGTCACTTTCTCCTCTAAGCTAGCCTGGCTGTGCAGGGCTTATGGTACTTGGAATGTTATGTAACGTACTGTTATGTTATACCTCAAAATAAGGATAATGGAATGTCCAGCAACAGACATATTGGTAAATAACTGGAAAAAGCAACTGCAGATTTTTCTTTTTTTTCCCCTTTGCTTTTGTAGATCAGTTTTGTTTTATCATCACCTTTGTCTTAAACAAAACTTCTCTAATATTCACGTTTTTTGGTGATAAACTATTCAGAATATACTTTCAGCAGCATAATGTAATAATCTGATCCAAGTGATTTAAAGTAATAAAAAGGCCAATCCACAGAAAGACATCTCAATTCTCAACACACCATTAAAATTAACACACTGATATCTGACAAGCTTATTTGCTCTTAATTAAGGCCTGTCTTGTTATATTAGAGCATCACATCCAACGTTAATTAGACTCGGCCCTAATAGTCGTTAACTGTACTTGTCACCCAGCTGAGTACATTAAAATATTAACTTTTCAGGTGCCATTACTCAGCGCTCTGCATCTGATTACAACAGGATGACACAAAGACAATGTATTTTTATGGGTTTAAAAATATATTTATATTACAGATGCTTATTACAAATTCCTTTCTTTGTGTGTTATATTTACCTGCATGAAATCCCAACCCAAAATTTACAGTGGTTCAAAAAAAAAAAAAGGGCAACATGTTATGTTCAATATAGTTACATAGCTGAAAAAAGACTTGCGTCCATCAAGTTCAGCCTACCTCACATGTTTTTTACTGTTGATCCAAAACAAGGTAAAAAACCCAGTTTGAAGCACTTCCAATTTTGCAACAAGCTAGGAAAAAAATTCCTTCTTGACCCCAGAATGGCAGTCAGATTTATCCTTGGATCAAGCAGTTATTACCCTACATTGAAAGATTATATCCTTGAATATTCTGTTTTTGCAAGTATGCATCTAGTAGCTGTTTGAACATCTGTATGGACTCTGATAAAACCACTTCTTCAGGCAGAGAATTCCACATCCTGATTGTTCTTACAATAAAAAAACCTTTCCTTTGCCTTAGATGAAATCTTCTTTCTTCCAGTCTAAATGCATGACCTCGTGACCTATGTAAAGTCCGGTTTGTGAATAGATTTCCACACAATGGTTTGTATTGGCCCAGAATATATTTGTATAATGTTATCATATGCCCTCTCAGGCGACATTTTTCTAAACTAAATAGATTTCAATTTATTAACCTTTCTTCATAGCTGATATGTTCCATTCCTTTTATTAATTTTGTAGCCCGCCTCTGCACTTTTTCTAGTGCCATAATATCCTCTTTAGAACAGGTGCCCAAAATTGCACAGCATATTCAATATGTGTCTTACCAGTGATTTATAAAGAAGCAAAATTATATTCTCCTCCCGAGAATGAATGCCTTTTTTGATGCATGACAATACCTTACTGGCCTTGGCCACTGCGGATTGACATTGCACATTGTTGCATAGTTTGTTGTCTATAACAATTCCCAAGTCCTTTTCACTTCCATTAAGGGTATACGTTGCTTGTGTATTCTTTACGCTCAAGTGCATAACTTTGCATTTTCCAACATTAAATTTCATCTGCCATTTGAGTGCCCAGTCCCCCAATCTATCTAAATCCCTCTAAAGCAAAGTAATATGTTGCTCACATTGCATTATTTTACAGAGTTTTGTGTCATCTGCAAACACTGAAATGTGACTTTCAATGCTGTCTTCAAGATCATTTCTAAAGATGTTAAATAGAAGGGGTCCCAGAACAGACCCCTGAGGGACACCACTTGCCACCTCTGTCCAGCTTGAAAATTTACCATTAATGACAACTCTTTGTACTCTTTTTAAGCCAATGTTCTACCCAAGAACAAGCATTTTCATCTAGACCGATTTCCTTGAGTTTGAACACTAATCTATTGTGTAGAACTGTTTTAAATGCCTTGGCAAAATCCAAATAGATCACATGCACTGCAGCACCCTGATCTATACTTCTACTTACTTCTTCGTAGAACGCAATCAAGTTAGTTTGACATGACCTGTGCTTCATAAAACCGTGCTGATTTTTGCTGATAACCATGTTCTTCTCAAGGAATTCTTGAATATTATCCCTTAATAACCTTTCAAATATTTTCCCAGCCACAGAAGTTAAGCTCACAGATCTATAATTTCCAGGCAAGGATTTTGAACCCTTTTTGAATATAGGACCCAATATCATGCAGCGGCTATGATAGAGACAGACTGACAGCGATCTGGGGCTTAAAGATTACTAAACATGTATTAAAGCTGTGCTCCAGGCTGGAAATAGCCAAAAATTAGAACACGTAGCACACAGTACAGAGATCAAACAAAAAAAACCTACAGAAACCAAAACTCAGCAATTCAGCAGTTAAAAGGGTTATTTAAAGGAGAAATTTCATATCCCAGGATTTTTATACTTATACCCATATTTAAAGGAACACTATAGCGTTAGGAATACAACATATATACCTAACCTTATAGTGCTCTCCTTCCTATCTAGTTGTCCACTCTCCTTGCAGGGGTTTTACATATAAATTTTATTTACCGCTCCTCGCTGCTGCTCTGCCTCTTTAACTGATATCAGTGTTATTGATCTCAGCCAATCCTATGCTTTCGCATAGGGAAGCATTGGGAGGATAGGGCGCATGCGCAGCAAGACGCCACATTGTGCCAAGTTTAACTCTGTTATAGCTGCGGAAGTACCTCTAGTGCCTGTGTTCCTGACTGCCATTTGCGGCATGTTAACACTGAAATGTAAACCTTGCTGTTCTTGCAAAACGGCAATCTTTTCAGTTGCATGGTCAAAATGACAGGAGCATGACATCCACACCACTTCATTAAGTGGAAGTGATCTGGGTAGTTACAGAGTCCATATAACAAACATCATGCCTCCATCTGGGCTTCCTGACAAGCGTTATAGCTCTGTCATTTGCACCAGGCAGCCAGCTTAGACAAACATACAGAGAAGAGGAGAAATGTCCTATACGGTTTCTGATCTGTCATGTTTCCCCTGACTGTGCCTCAACAAAACTGGAATGTGATGTCATTTTGTTAAATCTTTAAAGGGACACTAGAGTCACTCAAACAACGTAAACTTAATGAAGCATTTTTTGTGTATAGATCATTAAGCCCAATAAATTTAAGACATGTTATAGGTGATTTTAAATATTTTGTTGAAATTTTGACGTTGTTTTACTGTTACTACTTGTGACACTGTACATTAAGAGGTCAGTAACAAAAAGAAAATGCCTGAAGCAAAACCCTAAAAAAAAAAACACTGAACATGACCTGACCGATAAAATCTGATGGCTTCCACAAGAAAGAGAGATCCTTACATCCCATAATACCTTTGCAGCTGGATTCACTATTCAGGGCTCTGATATTCCTGAGAAAGGCAGAATCTTTTCTTTTTTTCTTCCATTTCCAGAGCGAGTTGAGTTGTGAATTAAAAAAGGTTATATTAAAGGGACTCTCCAGTGCCAGGAAAACAATCTGTTTTCCTGGCACTGCAAGTCCCCTCTGCCTCCCAACCCCCAATCCCCAGTTGCTGAAGGGGTGAAAACGCCTTCAGTAACTTACCAGAGGCAGCGACGATGTCCCACGTCGCTGCTTCTTCCTCCGCCACCGCTCCTCCCAGTGATTGCGTCGGCCGATGGGCGAGACGGATCCCGCCCACCGGCCGGTGAGACCTAATGCGCATGCGCATTAGAGCTCCCCATAGGAAAGAATTGAAAATGCTTTACAATGCTTTCCTATGGGGAAATGAGCGACACTGGAGGTCCTCACACAGCGTGAGGACGTCCAGCGATGCTCTAGCACAGGTTTTCTGTGCTAGGGACACGAAAGTGCCCTCTAGTGGCTGTCTACTAGACAGACACTAAAGGTGGAGTTAACCCTTCAAGGTAATAATTGCAGTTAATAAAACACTTGCAGGGTTAAGAGTAGTGGGAGTTGGTACCCAGACAACTCCAATGGGCAGAAGTGGTCTGGGTGCCTTGAGTGTCCCTTTAAATTGGTAAATGTGGAGAACTGACAAAGAAAATGCATTTTGTTTTGTTAGAATAGCCGACCTGTAGGCAAAGCTGTGTATGAGATAATTTTTTTTGCATTTTTGGCTTAAAATTCACAACTCCTTTGTCAATTCTCTATAAATTCAGGATTTATAGTTGAATACATTTGCTACCATATTGGAGACATCAATAGGAGAATTTCTTAAAGTAGTATTGTTTCCCTTACCATATTTTACTGTCAAACCTTTCTTACCATTGTAACCAATTAGCATCTCCCCAGATTTTAATTCACTATAACTATTATCCATAGCCAACATATGGCTGACTGGGAGTGATGAGCACTACAGGAGAGCACGCATCAAATTCGTTCTACCTTGCTTCAAAAAACACAAATGATCTTTTGGCTTGTGTTTTATATTTAGTTATTCTAATTATTACAAAATACACAGTATACTTTTTGTTTGTTTTTTAAATAAAATATAGAACAAAGAGCAATTGCAGCGGAGTTCAATTTTCTTTTCCCTTTATTTTCGAGAGAATTTCATTTACTCTTCCCAGATCAGCAAATGACGCTGATGCAGATCCTCTCTTTGCTGGCTTGGCCTGAAAACAGAAAATGAGAAAAATGCGTATTCGAAAACCTGTTTACAAATTCCGGCATTGCGCTAAAGCTAAATTAAATCATTCAGTATCTCATGCTTTGCATTATAAGTAATGGAGGTTGATGCTGTTTTATGGCCTGAAAAAGATTTGATTCATTTAACATAAAGGGCGATAAATGTTTGACTTGTTTAATGATAGTGAGTAGAGAGGTATACCTAAACTGCAAATGCACTCATTTAGAGCTGAAAAGGCGCTTAGTGTTATATCTGTTGGGTCTCTCCTGTAACAAATAAAGAGCATCCATATCTAGAGGAAACATCACACTGTGATGGAGCCTGCTCTGGTCACACTCCCCCCTAAAAGAGCATAATCAGTCTCCCAGACTCTCTTCCCTGATCCATCCATCCCCATGCAGTGAAGTGGTCAATTTCCATCCCCGTGACTACTCTGTGGGACAGGGGCAGCCATGTCTTCGCCTGGAATTCTAGATCGGAAAAGTACGAGGTGGCTGCTTAGTGCAACATACACTTATTGCCGCACAGCTCCCCAGTCCCCCAGGAGAGCGCTAATTGGAGGGGAGACGAAAAGACGAAGGACAATCAAAGTGCACCGAGTCAGGGGGAGCCCACTTCTCCGGAGTCAGCAGGACTCCTTTCCACTTAGTGTCGCCTGGTGTTTGAGTAAAGGAATATAATGACTTTAGAGCTTTCTTTACCAGTGAGAGAGAATTTTGACGGAGATACTCAGATGGAGTACTGGAGCTCCGGCGCGCACACACACACACACACGTTTTACAATAATTCCCCATAAAAAGGGGAGGAGGACAATAAAATAAATACATTTGATGCAAATGCCATAACACCTTCAGTTTATTGTTGTTGTTATGGTGCGATCTAAGGGCACAGTGCTTCTGGTTTTTATCATTATCAATCAGTTAGGAACAAATCATGAAGATTCTGTGAAATTGTAAGCCTACTCCCCCTTCACTCTGGGGAATTCGTAAAGAAGACAGTGCTTCTGCATCAGTATTGAACATTTCTCACACCGCCTGGAAATGCCAGAGCTGGAGCATCATTGTTCAGTATTCACAAGGTGATTCTCTGAATCTAAAAAGCCAATTGTCACGAGTTTAAAATTTACTGAACCAAAAGAGGACTGCTGAGATACAGACAAGTGTTGTCACTCACCAACAATACGAATGTAGGAACAATTCCTAATTCCTGATGGGACTGTACCCTGTGTTTATATCCCCCTAAACTATGTTATGGTATCTGTTAATACTGTTTTATTGCTGCAAATGTTATGCAAACGTACTCAATGTTTTTGTCAAATACTGTTACCTTGAAGCTAAAGTTTAGCAAACGTATTCAATGTTTTTGTCAAATACTTTTTGTCAATGTTTTTGAAAATGTTGACCAAAATAAAGAATTTTAAAAAACAATTAAAACTTACTGAAAATTTATTTCAAATTTTAGTCAACAATAACCTGATTGTTAAAAATCCACTTTGTTTTCAATTTGTTATTTAGCCCTAAAACCTGAAATTCACTTTGAATCCCGACAAATCCCCCTTTAGTGAATATTGCTCTACGAGTTAAAATGTTGCTGATATTGTCTGTGGTGAGCAGCTAGTTGGAAGCCACCAACATTTCGTTCATCCAATGATTCTTTGAAAAAAAGTTCTTCAATATTGTAGCATATGATTTATATAATAGGGGATGCAATAGACGGGTTAAATTAAAAAAAAAATTTAAAATGGACAAAATCTTATTAATATGTTTTGTTTTATGTTCACGGTCTCTTTAAATCAGAAACATTTAATTTCTAGAGGAATTTATGTATCATATCATAACTGCACATCTGTTTTTTTATTCCCATATTTAAATACTGATTTCTTCCATTCTGCAAAGAAAAAACTAATTTAAATCTCATCTTACTGCTTTGATAAACTAAAGGGCTACCGTCGCTTCCCTTTAACTTTTGATTTGTTTTGCATATATAAAAAATTCTACGGGGAGTATTCTAATGAATCTATTCCTTTTCTGCATACATTAACATATGCCATTATGCAGTATTTTAATGTCCTCATCCTTTAATTTAAAGTTTCTAGGGTTTTTGATCAATTGCCCTACAGAACGAAGGCTGGGGGTGGTGGTCTGGTAACATATATATATATATTTATTTAGTGATGAGACCAACAAAGATTAGAGGGAATAAAAATGTTGACATGTTTTACACTAACAACTATTAACATAAACCACAACATCTTAAAATGTAATTATGTAATTTTACATGACCTTCTCCTTAAAATACACCCGTCCATACCAGAATTAAAAAAATCGCAAATGTGGCATATTTTTTAGTGTTCATTCAAAATGACTTCATTGACACTCTGGTAAGCATACATGAACGTAACAGTTTTTCTGATGTTTCAACTGAACTATGATTTTTGGTCGAAGCTGTTAAAAAGCCAGCAATCAAATGTGTATTCTGAGAAGTGACGGTATCTCCAGTAATTACCTGTGATGCATGTGGTTTCCATCCAATCATATAATAGATCTCAAATGTTGCTGGGACAGTCCCATCCTTCTCGCCATACATTTCTACAAAATGGGAAAACAGTTGAGAACTTTTGAGACAAGACTGGAATGGTACACTGGGCGAACATCTGCTGGGTGTATATGACCATTGTTTTCTAGAATTCAGTTTGAAATTAGAATTCTGAAGATAAGCTATGGCTCATCTTGCCGATTGTAGCTAACTAGAAACAAGAGAGGGGGCATATTTGAAATAAAATGGTGCTAACAGATAAATCGGGCACCTTCTAAATTGAGAGCACTATCGACGAAAACCAATGGAGGAAAAAGGAGAGGATACTATTGGTTTCCATGGTGATTGCTCCACTTTGGAACCTTGCCACACGTTTCTATTAGCAATGCATTTAGAAATCTCCTCTATTATCCATTGTAGTGGCAGTGCCAATTGTTAGGAATGTCAGGAATTGACCATTTTCATCCCTTAAGATACTAGCTAACCTATAGTTTTTGAAGCCTTTTGACTACCAGAGGTGTGCCAAACAGACATACGCCTAGACTGAAAGAGTTGATTAAAGCTGAAAGGGACACTATGGGACACAGCTCATTGAAGTGGTCTGGGTGCAATGTCCCTGTCCCCCTTTAGTCCTGCAATGTAAATTATTAGAGAAACTGCAATAATTAAATTGCAGAACTAAGACTGCCTCATTTAGCTGTTAGACAGTCACAAGAGGCACTTCCTGCTTGCTAGGAGACTTTTGGTTGCCTAACTGAGGCTAGACTGCCGTACGCTCTGCATGAGGACATCCAGCGTCACTAAAATCCCCATAGGAAAGCAGAGGGCCTAGTGTGCTGGCAGCGCTTGCCATGCATGCGCTTTAGCATCAGATGATGTCGGAGGAGTTTGAAGCGCCAACCTAGCGCTGAGGGAGAGCTGCAGGAGGGGGGGGGGGGAGGATTTGTATTCCTTACACTATAGAATCCCTTTAAAGGGAAACATTGGAAACACTGGTGTATTCCAAACTGTGTATTCCTAAAGCTATAGTTTTCTAGTCACTGTTTAGGTGACTGGTCCAATCCACAGCAAGGGTTAAAAAGTTGTTGATTCACCTTTTATCCCACACTGCGCTTCTCTGTCTGCGGCCGGCCCTGCACCCATGGCTGAGATCGGCAAACTTGACTATCTCAGCCAATCCAATGTTTTCCTATAGGAAAGTGTGAATGCATTTTAAAAAAATGCCGCGTTGCACCAATCAGATGGTCTCATTGTACAGCGCTACGGAATTTGCTGGTGCTATATAAATAATAATAATAATAATAATAATAATGTCCCATGTTTTGCAGAAGCGCCTCATGTGGCTGTCTGAGTGTCAACCACTAGAGGTAGAAGTATTTAAACACTGCAATGAAAATATTGCCTTTCTTGCAGAACAGTAATGTTTTCACTTGCAGAGTTAGAAACTGGAGGGATATTGCACCCATACAACTTCATTAAAGGAACACGATTGTCACCAGAACAACTACAGCTTATTGAATTTGTTCTGGTGAGTAGAATCATTACCTTCAGGCTTTTTGCTGTAAACACTGTCTAAAATGCATCTAAACATTCAGTGTCTCCTCCCTCTGCATGCAGACACTGAACTTTCCTCATAGAGATTCATTGATTCAATTCATTTCTATGAGGAGATGCTGATTGGCCAGGGCTGTGTTTGAATCATGCTGGCTCTGACCCGATCTGCCTCTTTGTCAGTCTCAGCCAATCCTATGGAGAAGCACTGTGATTAGATCAGGCTACCACTTCTGATGATGTCAGCAGGCAGTGGTGGGCATGTCTAAAGGAAACAGGAACAGAGCCTGCAGCTCCAGACTTGAATACAGTAAGATTTTGCTATATTTATGGAGGCATAAGGGGACCAGGGTGGCTAGATGGTGGTTTTAACCCTATAGAGTCAGGAATACAGGTTTAGTGCTCCTTTAAGAAAAAGTGATCTAGGTGCCTTTAAAGAACAACTGTTTTCACATCTCACATTTTAATTTTTAAATTACATTTAATGGAACTTTGCAACTCAATGATTTTCTTTTCTTCTGTGATCACTTCCCTCCCTCAGCAAGTAAAGGCCACCAATTTCCAGTTAGAGGAAGGATAATAGCATGGCATAGACACAGAAAGTACTCGGATTACACACTCCCACACCGAGGGCATGCACACACAGATTGTACCCAGGCTGACCGAGCTAGAAGGGAACAGTTCGGGAACAAACAGGGGGGAGAGCAGGCAGACACACAGTGTCTGGAATGAACTGCTGGAATGAAATGCACAGAGTAATGCAGTGACTGCTCTGTGTGAAACTGTTGCAGCAGGAAAGTTAGGCTGAACAGCAGTTGGGCACACAATAGCAAAGTCTGACCCAACACGGCTGCTCAGCCAGATAAAGTAAAATGTTCTAAAAAAATAAATCAATACGCATTATTAAAAAATCATTAAATGTAATAAACCCTTAAAGAAAGTTAAATTTGATGACAAGTCAATACAAGGCAGACTTACTGAACATAGTAATTAAAGGGACAGTCCTGGTACAGTCTGCTGTAGGAGTCTCCAGGCGCCATCCCACAGTAAGTACTCAAACTGTTTTCTGACACTTACCTGAGACGCCAAGCACCTGCAGCCCTCTCTTCAGATTAGTGACTGTAATTCCACCAATGTTTAGACAGAATTCACCAACTGAGAACATAAGCCCACACTCTCTGACTTTTTTATTTCCCTAACAGGGACAAATGGAAGGTGAACTTTCTCTTCAGATATATTAGAAAGGGATACCCATACCATAGTATGGGATGCTGGGTCACTTCCTCCAACATCCCATACTACGGGGACACGGTCGCGCAATTAATCGGCCGCGGTGCTGACCGAGTCCCTTTTCAGCAATGGCCACCCGATGGGCAAATAACAGCGGTACCACAATTTTGTTTTACGCGGAACACCAATTGGTAAACGCTGGTGTACGGGGACTTTATCTAAACCAGCACACTGATACAGCTTAACACTTACATGTAAAAATAATGCATTAACCCTTTATGGACTACAATTTGCTGCCAACTCACTCAGGCCCCTAAATCCCTTAATGAGCTATTTATTAAGCAGAGACAGCTTCCTGAGAAGAGAAAAGGGGGTGGGTGGGTGGGGTGGGAAGAGAGGACAATACTAAAAACTAGACAATCCGGATTGACTGAGATGTTTAAGCCACTTCCTGGTCTTGGGAGATGTTACTGCAAACTCACCAGGGGTCTGAAGCAAGCCATGTAAATTCAAAGAAAAATATATATTTTTTTGTATGTTTATACATTTTCACATGTTTTATGCATAATCTCATTTTACATAAAATGTTCATCTCTTGGAATGTCCCTTTCAGGCATATTGACAAAAATGTTCTTTCAGCCGCACAGCAGATATTTCCTTTGTTCTTTTATATACTATCTAGTGAGTCTCCTGCGTACAGATTTGTCTCTCTGTGTTCTAATGCTATAAAACCTGCCAATACCCTGGGCACAGTCAGACGGCTTGTGACTGCAAATCCAGGTTCTGTTCTATGGAAGCTTTTCCATTTCAGAGCTTGCAAACAGACGCCAAGTAGAAAATCCTTACCTTGATAAATAGCTGCAGCAGCTATCATTGAATCTCGGTGAAGCAAAGATCTTCTATTCCACGAGCAGCTGCTCTCCCCCATACCTAGAAATATTCAAAAAAAACAAATTCCAATTTAACTAATTTTCCAACTTAGTATTTGAAAACTTTCTTTCAATGAACCACAATTCACAGTTTAGTGAACAGACCCAACAAAAATAATTAACTAGAAATTATTATGTATAAAGTGCCAACATCATCCACGGCGCTGTATAATAGGTGCACTGACAAACAGGTAGTTGTAACAGTTGTTACACTGTGTATGAAGACGCAGGACACTCCCCATAGAGATGCCCTGGGAAGAGGAGATGCTGATTGGCACAGTGCGGCCATTGCCATAGATGCACTGTAGGCTCCACAATGCTTCTCTATGGAATCATAAGTAATGATGATCTCAGCTTGAGGAGAGCAGCGTCCACGGAGGGACCAGCAAGGCAAGAGAAAGAAGGTAAGTTGAAATAATTAATTTTAGTTTTACAGAGAGGGACATTTAGTCTAAATATTGAGTACCTCAAATTTTGTATTAGACTGCTCCTTTAAATGTAAGATGATGCAGCAAGTAAAGTGGATGAGTGAGATGTGGGAAGGGAGAAGGAAGGATGCTAACAATTTAAAGGTAAACCGAGAAATATTTACATTTGTCTGAAAATATGCTTCTAGTGGCTATCAGACAGACAGCCACTAAAGGCTTATTCTCCTTAAAGGGACACTATAGTCCCTTTAAACAGTTTGCGTGCATAGATCATGTCCCTGCAGTCTCACTGCTCAATTCTCTGCCATTTAGGAGTTAAATCACTTTTGTTTCTATCCATGCAGCCCTAGCCACACCTCCCCTGGCTGTGACTGACACAGCCGGCATGAAAAAATGCTTTCATTTTCAATCAGATGTTAACTTACTATAGAAATTTTTATATCTTGCTCTGCAAATTGAACTTAATTCAGAAACAGGAGGTGCCTGCAAGGTATAGCAAGGTATTAACATTGCATGAGATAGGAAATTCTAAATTTAACAGACTGTGCAATAAAGGAAGTGTAAGCATTAGCTCTCTCTTTACAGGAAGTGTTTAGGAAGGCTGTGTAATGCAGGGAGGTGTGATTAGGGCTGCATAAACAAACTGATTTAACTCCTAACTGAGACTGCAGGAGCATGATCTGTATGCCATAACTGCTTCAATAAGCTAAAGTTGTTTTGGTGACTATAGTGTCACTTTAACACTATCAATTTCAAAGGCCATCAGATTCATCACACACAGCTGAACACAGAAACATTGGACTGACAGAGTGTGACCATTGTGCGCATGTGGAAAAGTCTCAATGCTTCTCTATAAGAACCACAGAAAATTATTCTTGATAATCTCACAGTGGCAGAGGGAGCTGCAAAGCAGAGACTGTTCCAGCACTGAAATCGCATCTAGATTAATCAAAAATAAAGTAATTGCTGTGCAATGTGTGTTTCAACATCAGCTGTATAATCAGAGCTCCCATTACCCCTATTTAGACCAGCATTGCTAAAATGTCATAGAACTAATATTCCAAAAGCTATATGGTCAAAGGTTAACCAGCAATGACTTATTGTCTAAGTTCCCCCCTTGGCTGAGGGTGATGGGAGTTAGTCCACCTCCCCAATAGAGATGGTCTCTGCTTATTCATGCCAAAAAAGCATTTTTAAATTATGGCTGTCCCTGCTGACAATTATTATGACACTCATTTTTATTACGCGACCTGCTAGGGAGACAAATTTATATATTTGTTCAAGTTAAAAAACAAGAAGCTGATGATTTGTCTTAACTGCTAATGACTAATAATTACTTCTGGGTTTGTTTCAAGTAAATAAAATACTTTTGGAAGTGATTTATTAACACATCAGTATGGTAATTAGCCAGCAGAATGTACAGTGTAATAAAATGGGGAATTTCAGCAAAATTACAAGTCTTGGAACTTGAGCGTATCTTCATTTTACTATTGTTAGCTGAATGCAACACAACTATATTTAAAATACAACTGAATAAAAATCCAGTTTGTTTATCCATATATCAAACATTTTAATATTTATAAAAATAAAGCATTTTCAAAATCATATTGAATTATAAAAATAAATGTAATATTATTGGACACTCTCCCTTGCAAAATGACATGAGCAACAATGACTGACAAGTGCTTAAAGCATTTACACTCCAATATGGCAAAAAGAAGACAACCAAAAAACAAGGCTGAATTGGTTGTGCAATAAACACAGTATTTTAGTTATCACTTCCTTTTTTACATATATTTCAATTAATGATCTGAGACAGAAGACATTGCTTGAACTCAGCACAGTCCAACACACCCTATCCCTTGAACTCAGCACAATCCAACCCATGGTTTCCATTGAACTCAGCACAGTCCAACCCATGGTTTCCCATGAACTCAGCACAGTCCAACCCATGGTTTCCCATGAACTCAGCACAGTCCAACGCATGGTTTCCCATGAACTCAGCACAGTCCAACGCATGGTTTCCCATGAACTCAGCACAGTCCAACCCATGGTTTCCCATGAACTCAGCACAGTCCAACCCATGGTTTCCCATGAACTCAGCACAGTCCAACCCATGGTTTCCCATGAACTCAGCATAATCCAACCCATGGTTTCCCTTGAACTCAGCACAGTCCAACGCATGGTTTCCCTTGAACTCAGCACAGTCCAACGCATGGTTTCCCATGAACTCAGCACAGTCCAACCCATGGTTTCCCATGAACTCAGCAAATCCAACCCATGGTTTCCCATGAACTCAGCATAATCCAACCCATGGTTTCCCTTGAACTCAGCACAGTCCAACGCATGGTTTCCCTTGAACTCAGCACAGTCCAACGCATGGTTTCCCTTGAACTCAGCACAGTCCAACCCATGGTTTCCCATGAACTCAGCACAGTCCAACGCATGGTTTCCCATGAACTCAGCACAGTCCAACCCATGGTTTCCCATGAACTCAGCACAGTCCAACCCATGGTTTCCCTTGAACTCAGCACAGTCCAACCCATGGTTTCCATTGAACTCAGCACAGTCCAACGCATGGTTTCCCTTGAACTCAGCACAGTCCAACCCATGGTTTCCCTTGAACTCAGCACAGTCCAACCAATGGTTTCCATTGAACTCAGCACAGTCCAACCCATGGTTTCCCATGAACTCAGCAAAGTCCAACCCATGGTTTCCCATGAACTCAGCAAAGTCCAACCCATGGTTTACATTGAACTCAGCACAGTCTAACACATGGTTTCCCATGAACTCAGCACAGTCCAACCCATGGTTTCCCATTAACTCAGCACAGTCCAAACCATGGTTTCCCATGAACTCAGCACAGTCCAACCCATGGTTTCCATTGAACTCAGCACAGCCCAACCCATGGTTTCCATTGAACTCAGCACAGCCCAACCCATGGTTTCCCATGAACTCAGCACAGTCCAACCCATGGTTTCCCTTGAACTCAGCACAGTCCAACCCATGGTTTCCCTTGAACTCAGCACAGTCCAACCAACTGTTTCCATTGGACTCAGCACAGTACAACGCACTATTTCCCTTGAACACATATCTGTTGCAGACACCCTTTTCCTTGAACTCAACACAGTTCAATGCACTCTTATCCTTTCACTCAGCACAGTACAAAGCACCCTATCCCTTAAACTAAGGACAGTCCAATGCACCCTTATCCCTTGAGCCCAGCACAGTCCAAAGCACCCTATCCTTTGAACTCAGCACAGTCCAACACAATATCCCTTGAACCCGGCACAGTCCAAAACACCCTATCCCCTGATTCAGCACAGCCCAACGCACCCTATCTCCTGATTCAGCACAGCCCAACGCACCCTGTCCCTTGAACTCAACACAGTCCAATACATGGCTTCCTTTGAACTCAACACAATCCAACCCATGGTTTACAGTGAACTCAGCACAGTACAACGCACCATTTCCCTTGAACACAGATCAAGTTGCAGACACCCTTTTCCTTGAACTCAGCACAGTCCAAAGCACTCTTTCCCTTGAGCTCAAATCAGTCCCAGATATCCTTTCTATTGAACAGCACATCCCTAGTCAGTCTTTTCAGTGAATTTATCAGTTACTATTTCCTTTAAACTTACCCCAGTCCCAAAACATTTTTTCCTTTAAGTTTAGCAAAGTTCCAGACACTCTTACCTATACACTCAGAATTGTTTTAAATGAAAGGAAGGTAATCACCCAAAGCAAAAGGATATTTAGTTTGCATTCCAAATCCGTTAAAACTCTTAAAATCTATGGCACATGTATTTAAATGTAAATGTGACACTGCTACCATGGTACCTAATTATACAAGCTGCTGTGACTGCTGTGGGCAAGACCTTCAAACAATCTCAACACTCACTGTGACCCAACAAGATCAGGAAGGATAATAGTGACCTCAGAATAAGAGGATTTGTTCATTTCTGAACGAAGTCTAAAAAAAGCCATTTAACTTGCCCTGAAATACAAGCTCAGCTGAATATAATAGAAAATGTATGCATTTAACTGTCATTATTATACACATTATGCAGATGTATTTCACTGTCATTATCACGTACATTAAATACTGAACTATATTTAGGGTGGGTCGGTGGGGTGGAGGGGAATCTAATATTATTTAGTTATATATTCAGGTGCCATCTGGTGGTTGAACTAAAAACTACAATCTGGAATTATCAATATTAAAGAGACACTATAGTACCTGGTGTTATTATTATTATTATTATTGCCATTTATATAGCGCCAACAGATTCCGTAGCACTTTACAATATTATGAAAGGGGATTTAACTATAAATAGGACAATTACAAATAAACTTACAGGAACAATAGGTTGAAGAGGACCCTGCTCAATCGAGCTTACATTCTATAGGAGGTGGGGTGTAAAACACATTAGGACAGGAATGTGTTTTGGTGAGTAGACTCATTACCTTCAGGCTTTTTGCAGTAAACACTGTCTTTTCAGAGAAAATGCAGTGTTTACATTACAGCCTAGGGATAACTCCACTGGCCACTCCTCAGATGGCTACTTGAGGTGCTTCCTGGGGCAGTGCTGCACAGTGTGACAAATTTTCAGTGTCTCCACCCTCTGCATGGAGACACTGAACTTTCCTTATAGATCTCCTCCTTGACGGTCTCAGCCGATCCAATGCTTTCCTATGTAAATAATTGTGATTGGCTCAGAACAACAATTCTGATGATGTCAGCCAAGCAGGCAGATCAGGGGCAGAGCCTGCAGCAGCAGCCTGGAATAAAAGTAAGATTATACAATATTTAGGGAGGGTAATGGGGGAGCCAGCGGGGTGGGGCTAGGTGGTATTTTTAATATTATAGGGTCAGGAATGCAGACCCCTGAAGTGATTATGACCTTAGGAGTGCCCCCGACGCTATTCCCCGGTAATGGGGTTTTGCAATGCTCTGCCTGCTTAGCTAGTCCAGCCGGGCACCAAGCCTCCAGTAACGGCGGCTAAACCACATCTGGGAGAAGCTGGGTGATGACCCTGCCACTCATTAATTGGATAAGAGCGGCACCGGAGTGTTCTCAGCCAATGAATGCCCCTCTAAATACAAGTTTGTGTCAAAACTTCAATACAGTATATATAGAACAAAAGTACCATGGGGTTAATTCATTAATGGGACACTCCAGATACCATAGCAACTTCATGACTAGGGAGCTAGTGATTGGCTAACAGCATCAAATGTTCCTCTCAGTATATTAGCGGTACTTGGTCTGAGGCTTCCTCACTGAGAGACAGCCGCCAGAAGGTTTCTTACAGCTCACTGTAAACACTGCCTATTAAGAGAAAACACAGTGTTTCTAAAATAGGGACAGGCTCTTTCTATTCCCTTTAATTGTTACATATTACAGACTGTCATTCTGTGTTGGAACATGGACGGTTATAATTCAGGATTAAACCTATATCTGTCCTGTTTACTCATACATATGCACATCAGCCAACTACTATATTCCCTGCAGTACTAACATGAATGAGTAATTCTTTTGTGTGAGCTACAAAGTTTCCATGGTAACCCAGAAAGGCAAGTGCTAATCATATAAACAATGTGTCAGTAATGTACTTACCTTGCAAATCTAGCATGACTTCAAACATTCCAGGATAGTGAACTTGGATTTCATCAGTGTCCTAAAAAAAAAAAAAATTATCATCCAAATATCAGCATCACACAATTTGTAAAGTAGAGAATATAATGATTTCTTTCTTTATCATTGAGAATGAGGATCTCTTTGGAACCATAAATGCTCAACGACAGCTGAATATTAGCGCTATCAAAAAACCAAACAAACAAACAGGGGTAGTTACCACGGTCAGCATGTTAAAGCCAGATGATCCCAAAAGATTTCCCAAGTCGGTGACGGCTGTGAATGGAGAGACATGAGGTGAAAATCCTCCCTCTCTCTCAATTTCTGCCAGTTGCAACGAGCAGCGGAGCTCATACAGTGTCTCGCCCCCAAACATGGCACCAATAAATACGCCATCTTCCTTTAGGACACGATGTATCTGGAAAGACAAGAGCACCGTGGTGAAGACAGGGCGATGGGGCACAGGTTTCTTCACAAAAGTGAGAATTGGCCGCAGTTGAAAGAAAACTCTAAATTAATTTCAAATTCAAGAACTTAACAAATCGAACTGGAAAAATTCTCCAAGTAAGCTAGACTCACAGTTTGGCTATTTTGAGTTTAGATTCGAAATTCTGTTTGAATTCACTTCAAATTCCTGACAATTCTCACTTTGGTGAGTAACCCTTTAAGAGTTAATTAAAACAACATTTTTTATTGTTTTAAAGCACATTCTTAGAGCTAAACACAAGTTATCTGATAACGCTACACATAAACTGCAATGCATGTACAGTGCCGTTCATAAGTATTAGGACAGGGACAAGTTTTGTGGTTTTTCCTCTTTGCTCTGGCACAAAGTGCAATCTGTCACCTTCAAACCACACGTCCACAGACTGCAAGCATATTAGAAAAGTTATTTTTATACATACAGTCTTTGGTCCCCAGAGGACCAAACATAATCGCACACATGGCTGCCCAATCATTTTTGGACATTCATGCACATGAAATCCAGATAAAGCTCTAGAGAACAGGTGTCCAAAAGGTAGATCCCAGGCGGTACAGTCTAAGAATGGCAAAACATCATGGGATTTGTAGTTCTAGCTGGGGGACCTGCTATTTAGCTATCCGTGGTCTACAGGACAACCAGGAATATAAAACATAACTGGGTTTTTTTGAAAGCTTGCTGCATTTTGATATTATGGTTCTGTACCACCACCTGCTGGCCGCATTGGAAATGCACACGCTATACTCCTATTTAAAGGTTTGTTTACGTTTTTGTCTAATGGAGTTTGTAGTATAGTACAAAACTAATAATGAGCTTTTACCCATCCATTTCAAGTTAGAGGAGAGTTGTGATTTTTTTATTTTTTTTTCTTATATTTGTGTCTATCTGGCAAATGAGGGATAAAAAGATAAACTGGCAAAAAAAAAAAAAATTGAGCATGATGGAAAGGAACACTAAAAGATACACAAAGAGGAAGAATTAAGTTGCTAGAATGATGAGGGAGAAGGAAGGATAAGGAGATGTGGAAGACGACAGAATGAGAGGGAAGGCAGATGAAGAGCTAGGTACAGGGGCGGAACGGAGGAGAGATCAGGTGAGGTAAGTACAAGGGAGAATAGAGGAGGTAAGTACAGGAGAAAAAACAGGAGGTAAGTACAGGGGAGAACACAGGAGGTAAGTACAGGGGAGAACACAGGAGGTAAGTACAGGGGAGAACACAGGAGGTAAGTACAGGGGAGAACACATGAGGTAAGTACAGGGGAGAATGCAGGAGGTAAGTACAGGGGAGAACACAGGAGGTAAGTACGGGGAGAACACAGGAGGTAAGAACAGGGGAGAACACAGGAGGTAAGTACAGGGGAGAAACAGAAGTCCAGGAGCATGATGCAGAGGACATGAAGAGGTAAGTGAATGGGCAAGACCGAAGATACATGAATAGATAAGAAAAGGGGATTAACGATGGACAAACAAAGTGATATATAAAGGGATAGAATGAAGGCCCAATGCAATGACAGATATAGGGGCAGAGTCGATGAAAGTGGAAGAGCCAATCACATGGATAGGGCAGAGGTAAGTCCAGGCACAGCATGCCAGAGATATGAAGAGGTAAGTAGAGGGTAAAATGGGGGAATGATAACAAAACACGCACAGTGTGATGTAGTAGTGGGAATAGCCTATAATCCCTATTACCCAGTCACAGCACAGATTATGCAGTTTGCAGATTTATCCATAATACCTTGCAGTCTCCAGTTGTATTCTTACCTCGTGAAATGTCCGAGGTAGATCATTTACCCAGTGCAAACTGCAAGTAAATAAAAAATATTCACGTCACAAAATCCCATCTAGAAATTATCATTCTTCTATTTGCAAATATTACGATCAAGTAATTCCTGGATCTCTCGATCCTTTGCAGATAGCAGAAACATTATCCACACAAACCTCAAGAAATGATGGTTAGGTGAAGAAATTTCAGCAGCTAAGATTACCAGACGCCACACTTTCAAACATACAATTGTTTCCTAAAGAGACTCTCCAAGTACCACAACCAGAAAATCGTAATGGATTGATTATGGTGCTTAAAAACATATGTGCAGTTTTTTCTCAAATTGTTTTCAATAAGTATTACAAAAAGGTAATGCATATAATTAGCTCAAAAGTCCACCTCTTATTTGATATAACAGAATGATGAGTGTTCACTTTGTTGTTCCCCAAGTACAGCCATACAATATATTAAAAGATAAGATTACACACTTCCTTGTAACAATAACCATTCATACCTGCGATGGGCACTGTGATAGGCTGAGGTCAGCAGACACTCTCAGCCAACCACAGTTTCCTCATTAGCCCAAGCAGCACTGAGGGGGACTGGGACTGTTGTTTAGCATTAAAATATTAAAAACTGTTTAAAACTGAATGGAAGCACAGCACCAGGGGCATTCAGACACTAGAACAACTTCAATTAAATAAACAAATTACAGTGCCTACAGTGTCCCTTTAGATTTTTAGAACCAGGGGTTACCGCCTACAATTAGCTAGTTTTCTCTTCAGTGCCTGGTATTTCCATGGACTGTTGGTTTCAGGTGATACTTCAGACTGTATGGCATTGTAGGAGCATTGCTGGCTGACATAAGCATCTAATGTAATATATTTAAAGCCCACTCAGCATACCTTAAACTGCTTACAACAAGATCAAACGTTCCATCCTTAAATGGAATAAATTCTTCATCCACAATTATGTTATTGGTTGGAATTTCGGTTGGTACAGAGTTTTTCTAAGGAAACAAAACATGATTTAAAAAACAAACAAAAAAAAAAGTTAAAAAACATCACATATATTGTTCTTTGTTTTGAATTGAGCAAGTTATAAAAACACTGAAAAAAAAAATAAAAAATAAAAAAACTCCTCTTACCAAAGCCTTTTCAGACATGTCTGCTTGAACTAATTTTTCTACGGTTTCCTACAGAAGCAAAAACAAAAAACAAGGCAATGAATTTGTACAAGTTTATTACCCTGCAAATAAACACCTCACTATTAATGCACAACAACTATAGAAGCATCAGCATCTTCGGTGAGATAAATACCATCTTATGTGCATGACTTATGTTTGAAGCTACAACAGCGGCATTCGTTTTCACTTCCCAGACTGTCAATGGCAATCTTCCAAGCCTCTGCTGGCATTAATGTACATATATATCAATGAGCAAGTCAGCCTCAGTCATTTTTACTACTGGCATTCCTGTACACACATCCTTTACTGGGATAATAATGCCCAGAATGTAGCCATTAAACACAGAAAACAGAATAAAAGTCTAATCTCCGAAACAGACGTAGCTACCATAATATTGTTATATCGAGATACAGTTCAAAATTACAATTGTCATGAATTGGATGCTTTTATTGACAAATGTAAAATAAAATTGCTTTTAGCGCAGCAGACTGAAAAAGCAAGCATCCTTTTTGGAGCCCTCGCATCAAGCATGGCGGTAAATATTTTCTGGAAAAGAACTGTAATAAAACGTAGTCACTCTTTATGGTTGGGGGCACTGCTGTGATAATGCAGCCGTTTGTACAGCGTTCTGGCAGAATAATGGCTTCTTCCTAATCTATAGACAGGGCTTTCTTACAAATATATGTTTCGTTTGAGCAGAAATACATCCAAGAAAACACACAGATCACTTGCTTTTATTGCAGGATTATTCCATTGAATTGGAATTATTTGGGCAAAAAAAAAAAAAAAAGAGCTATCAATAGTCAACTAGACGCAGACAGAGATGGCTCCGGTGTTGGCTTCTAGGGCATGCCGAACATGATAATTTAAAAGCCCTGTTCCAGTGAAGCAATGGGTGCCTCAATGCCATACTTAGCATGAATCTAAATTAGTTCAGGATATATATTAACGGCTGAGCTATGGTTTTTCCATGACCACAGATGTTTACATCCATATAGATTGGGTCCACTAAATGTGCCCTTTTGACTTAACGGTTCTGGATTACTGGTCAAACCGTGGGTAGGGATTGGATTATGGTGGGGGCACCCTCAGGGCACTATAGTGCCGGGAAAACAAGTTTGTTTTCCTGGCACTATAGTGGTCCTTTAATGTACTACATTACATGTTTTATTAAGTTAATGTAGAGTTCATGTGTACAGGCATGACCCTGCCCCGTGTATATGTAAAAGAATGATGTACACACACACACACACTCACCTAAGAGTCACTTGGCAAGTGACCAACACCTGAGTGTGGAAGTTCTGCAAGGATATTCTCTCTACATTGTTGTATGCCCTACCACTACGTAGTGCGAAGTTTACTAACAGGTACTGTCCCTTCACCTTCAAAGAGAAAGACTGACACTAAAGTGGCAGACATATTTGGAAAACATGATTATTGATTATCTGTAACACAGCCTACTACACTGTATTGATTTAACTAAATATCTGTAAATGTCACTAGTAATCCGCAGTAAAAAAAAAAAAAAGAAATAAAAAAGGAGTCTCCTGAGTAGAATATGAACGGATTGGCTAGTTGTTTTATAATAAAAAGGTAGAAAAAGGAGCTGGCCTAGAAATGTATCCAAATTTCATTGGGCCTTTGCTTGGTAGTAGTAAAGTAGCGTTTTTTCCTTATGATTCCTCCCATTTGATCACATGCTTCTATAAAACATGTGCATATCTTTAAACTGAGCTATACAGTCCATAATACTGCTAGCACCAGTTAATAAGTAGGGTTACATGTGAACATATGCAATGATCTACATTTAAATCAATAATCAATGGCCATCTGGCTCTTCACGATTACATAAACATTGTAGCATCATTTGGTTTTATTACACCAAAACAAAAAAAAACACCATTGTATAATATTTTCACATCAGATGTCTTTGAACCATAGATCCCATGATTCTCAATCAGCAGTTTGACTGAATAAGACTTCTGGGAGATGTAGTCCACAGTCAACAGGAGGTTAATGTTGACAACTCTGGACTGAATAGGTTTTTCTAATGCAAGGGCAGATTAAAAAAATAAAAAATAAATTAAAAAAAACTTTAAAAAAAAAACCAACATGGTGGAAAGCTGTATATTGTAAGCGTCTCGCTGCCGCGCAGTGACTATTTATTCACTGGTTTAATGCAACGTCAATTTGATGTGCGAAAACGAGTTCAACAGATGGCAAATGATATGCAACAAGGTATTAATGCAAAACTATGCCTATACACATTGCAAGGGATCAACGCAGCTATGAGAAACAGGATAAAATGCTTCCAAAAATAAATCATCCAAAATAGTTAAGGTGCCATAAAATGTAAATACAAAACCAAAGGTGGCATGTTCATAAATAACAAAAACAAGACCAAACTCTGTTTCCGCTATAGAGTACGGCAGTCATTAAATTACAAATAAGCAGAGATTTTTCCTTTATTATAACCGACGTGTCAACAAACGAGAAGCGTGGAATATTTGTACCATTCATAATGGGGTCTGATGCTAAATCTGTGCTGACAAATATTTATCAGTGAACGACTCCAGCAAAGTGCTATCTCTAGTGGGAGTAGACAGTGAGTGTAAAATATGAGACAAAAAAAATGTGACTGTATAATGTGGCATAGGCACATAAATAAAAAATAATGTTTATTTATGGTGTTAATTTTGCTTGAAGCACGGATGTCTAATAGAAAACTGACATATAGTTAATGGAAACAACTCGATATGCACCATAAAAACACAACAGTTAAAGGGACACTATAGTCACCTGAACAGCGTTAGCTTAATGAAGCTATTTTGGTGTATAGAACATGCCCCTGCAGCCTCACTGCTCAATCCTCTGCCATTTAGGAGTTAAATCCCTTTGTTTATGAACCCTAGTCACACCTCCCTGCATGTGACTTGCACAGCCTTCCATAAACACTTCCTGTAAAGAGAGCCCTATTTAGGCTTTCTTTATTGCAAGTTCTGTTTAATTAAGATGTTCTTATCCCCTGCTATGTTAATAGCTTGCTAGACCCTGCAAGAGCCTCCTGTATGTGATTAAAGTTCAATTTAGAGATTGACATACAATTATTTAAGGTAAATTACATCTGTTTGAAAGTGAAACCATTTTTTTTTTTTCATGCAGGCTCTGTCAATCATAGCCAGGGGAGGTGTGGCTAGGGCTGCATAAACAGAAACAAAGTGATTTAACTCCTAAATGACAGTGAATTGAGCAGTGAAATTGCAGGGGAATGATCTATACACTAAAACTGCTTTATTTAGCTAAAGCAATTTAGGTTACTATAGTGTTCCTTTAAGGCATCGACTTGCCCTAATGTATTATTGCTATATATTGATAATATAACTTTTATTTCAGTAGTGCCCCGTTCAATGTATGCTTTCTGGGCTAAGCCTGGTTTATTCTGCATGTAACGTCTGGCATCCATTCTCACCAACCAATTTGAATTCTATCCAAATGGTTCCAAAGCAGTAACAGCAACAGCAAGTAATGATTTTGACAGCACTAAAACCAGGTTAGGACTCACCAAAAATGGGAATATTTCCCATTAATCGACAGAGGCAAATATTGTGCCTCCATGTCCTCATTTGTACCCCTAATAAAGATGGTTTTAATATAGCATTTAATATTGGTAATATTATAATTTATATGACACAAATAAATGTGGCTGGTTTATTTGTGTTATATATATTATTGATTTAACCATTGATTAAAAGGATGTAATAACAAATTAAACATTAGTATGTGAGAGATGAATCTGTGAGCTGTAAATAGTGAAAGAGTGTATAAAAGCCTCATTAAAAGAAAACGGTTACACTCTGTATTAGTTTTAAAAATAAAAGGTTACATGTATTATAGCCCTCCCTATAGGCTCCCTATTATTATTACTTACCCAGTTTATTCCTTACGCCGTTCGTTTACTTCTGCGTTCGTGCGTCTAACAGCCGAACGCAGAAGTTCATACTCACCTTTCTTTTTCATTCATATAAAATTAATATACTGATCACTCATACTTACCCTACGTACGGCTGTTTCACACGTTCATACAGCGGAACATGCTTACGAACGGCTTTAATGCAGCCGTTTTCATTTACTCATACAGACTGCAGTTGATTTACATGTTAAATCCCTCTCTTGTTCGTTTAGCCGAACGCGGGAGGGATAAACAGTTATTCCCTATATGTTATGTATATACCCCAGTATGAAACTACACATGACTATTTCCTTTTTATATTTAAAGTGTATACTCTGTTTTTACCTCCTGCATAATCAAAGGCTGTGTGGCACCACCGTTACATTTAATTATGAACTAATTCCCAGCACTCTGCGGTTTCCACACAAGGGTGGAGGAAACAGTTAAAGGAACAGTTGGCCTTTTAACCCCTTTCTATATCACTGGGTCAATCAGCAAACACCCCCCTTCCCTTTCCCCCCCCTTCCCCTCCCCTCCCCCCCGTTTCCTAGGCTCGTTTCAGACCAGTAATACATATGACTAATCTGTTCCTTAAATATATTATTTCCAGGTCATCATTCTTAAAATACATTTGTTTTAGGTTCATCTACTCTTCTTCAAGGAAATCTTCAAGAAGTGATTTCCATGTTCCAGTTTCACAGTATCAGGTAAAAAAGGTTTTACCTATTTTTCGTTTCTCCTGAGGCCTCATTCAGCCTCCACGGTCTTGCATAAACCTCACCCCCACCTCCCAAAGTGGGTTTTAAACGGTTACACACACCAGGTTTAAAAACACCACCTAGACACCAACTACTCTCATAAACCTGCTCAACGAGCTACTATCGTATTAACGTATCATTTCCTGTTTATCGTTTCTACATAATATTACTTAGCCATTTTACGCAGGTCCTCTACGTTATCAACAACCAACTGGCTACCCGGTCTCCGGCATTCAGTATCAGGTATTTTATCTTTCTCATTACAATTACCTTCTCATCAAGGCCTCACTTGCCTTCGTTTCATTCATAAATTCACATCCCTAGGTACCCAGGGGCTTGTCTCTTATTATGGACCAACGTTCAGGTCCCTCAGCTTACTCATGCATACGTTACAGTATCTCTGGTACACACCTACCCATACATTCTACATTTTCACACGTGGCACACCGGTGGCACGCCTCAGGCCTACTAGGCCTGAGGTTCTGGATAGAGCCTGTTTCCTGCAGAAGCTAATTTATAGCCATATCGAAGTCTACCTGTGTTTTGTCCGAACAAACAGGACTTATACTCAAGGTTAAGTATTTACATACGTACATATACATCACTGCGAGAGACAAGCCCCAGTAGTTTAGAGAACTGGCTCCTAGGGTTAGGTTCTGGCCTTAGCTATCTAATTAATACCCGGTCCCGCGAGGTCTATACCCCCACCTCATACACGGAGGTTCGGCCCACGACCAAATCATAGTTAGCCACCTCGCTTGCCCTTCTTGTGGGCTATAGCCAGGGCTTCCCAAATCACAGCCACACGTTTTGACTCTCTTTACAGTCACCAAGAGGCCTACACCCCGCCACCACATGCATGTGGCCACAAAATCCCCTCGGGCCAAATCATAGGTACAGTCTCTCTCCGCCACTTGGCACTAGCAGGGCCTCACTTGTCACTTGGTCTAGGTAAACTTTTCGCCTTGGCACAAGCTAGCAGGCCAGTTCTCCGGAGGTCTCACCTTCACCTCCTCTTCACCCTACTTATTGAAATCATTATTCTCTTTCAGATGTCACAAAAGCCGATCACCAATCTACCATCGGGCAACATAGCCAGCGTGCCAATCAGGCCTGGATCTCCGGAGAAATCCCTCACCCCTTTTACCCAGAGGTCCCTTTCCTGCCACGGCCAGAAAGGCCGAATTATATAGGCTCATGACCACTCAGGCCAACGTTCCCAGGCCAGGCTGCAGTTCACAAATCCTGCCAGCTCACACTTCGTATTCAACACGATACACCCTGGCTGCTATACTCACCAACCTCCAAACACCAAACAATCAATCACAGACTAGCGAAACTGGAATCCGCTATAGCCACACCAAGTGCCTTGTTGGGCTCGGCAAACCTTCCACTGACGGTCTCAGCCATACCCACTTCATATGTTTCCCCGGCTCACCCTGTCCCTGACTTCATCAGAAAGGGCATTTCCAAGGGTAATGACGTTAACTCCATGGCCCTACTGCTGACCTCCCAAACTACGCTCACTAGTACGACAGTCACTTCCACGGCTCACCACGCCCCCACCCCACACACTAGTCAGGGTGCAGGTCGGAGTGACACGCCGGACAGTCACATTACATTTCTGGGCAAGGCTCGGGTGTGCAGTGACTTTAACGCCGGGGTATGTAATCTCACGACATGCGGGGCACTGCACATCTGCTCCATATGCTTCAGAACCCACACCAAGTCCACTTTCCCAGCCCTCCTGTCACCTAAGAAATGCCTGACCGAAGTTAACATTGACATACTGGAATACTATCTCCAGTCACATCCAGCTAGGCACCTGGTAGATTATCTGGTGACGGGTTTTTCACAGGGGTTTCACACGGGCCTTATTGCCATCCCCACAGGTACACTTGAAAGCCCTAACCTTTTATCCGCTTCCACTGACCCACTCACGGTGGACCACCTTCTGTCTACAGAAATCACAGCCGGTTTTATGATCAGCCCGTTTCGGTCTTCACCTTTCTCATCTTGGCGTACCAATCCCATCGGTATAGCCATTCATAAATACTCCAACAAAAAACGTTTAATTATTGATCTCTCCGCACCTCACTCTTCCTCCACTCCTAGTATCAACTCCCTCATTCCTGCCACGGAGTTCTCACTGCAATACGCTAAAATTGATGATGCCATGGAGGCCATCTTATTAGAGGGTAGTTGAGCTTGGTTGAGCAAAACAGATATAACTAACGCCTTCAAACTACTACCTATTCACCCCTCACTATGGCACTTACACTTTGTTAAATGGAGAAACAGGTATTTTTCGCCACCCGGCTCACTTTTGGCTCTAGGAGCAGCCCCAGGTTATTCGATATCGTCGCAGAAACCCTCTGCTGGCTGCTCCTAAATATACTCAGGTGTCCCTCTGCCATCCACTAACTAGACGATTTTCTATTGATAGAACCAGGTTCACAATCCCTTCACTGCATACACTCCACCACAGCTTTCTTCACGACACTCGGGGTCCCCTTGTCACCTAGCAAAACACTCGGTCCCTCTACCAAGCTCGTTTTCTTGGGGATAGTACTCCACACCACTACCTTCCAAGCCAGTTTACCACCAGATAAGCTGTCCCACATTAAGAACGAGATTGTCCTGTTCCTGCGGAGTGTTGCGTGCACTAGGAGGAGCCTCCAGTCCTTATTGGGGTCCCTCAACTTTGCTATGCACATCATTCCACAGGGTAGATCTTTTGTCTCCAGGCTTCTCAACTTGTTCCACGGTGTGCCCGACTCATGCCCAATCATGTTGGACGATCCGGCTAGGATGGATTTACACACGTGGAGTAGTTTTCTGGCCGATTGGAATGGGATCTCTTTGTTCATTCCCCCCACTTTCAGAGCACTCACCTTCGATTCACACAGACTCCGCAGCCATCTGCGGCAACCACTGGTTTAGGGACAACTGGCTCGCTGAGACGGATGCCTTGCCGGCCTTTAGAGAAACATCTACTTTATTCGATATCTACCCCATCGTAGCGGCCGCCCACATGTGGGGTTACCTTTGGACCGGCAAGGCAGTTAGATGCTTCTCTGACAACTCCGCAGCCATTAACAAAGGTCGGTCCTCCTCCCTAACAATTATGAGTCTGATTCGCAGGCTGGCAGCTACCTCTCAGTTCTTCCTAGTCTGTATCCACATTCCTGGTGTCCACAACACAGCAGCTGACGCTCTGTCATGCTCCCAATTTGATACCTTCTTCCAGGCACTCCCCACCACTTTCCATCTAGGATACCACCTTTTCACAAGCTAATCTGGGACTAAGCACACAATTGCACCTCGCACAGGTACGCACGCTTCACGCAGGGTCACGACTTTCCCTTCACATACACCAAGGCTTACTGTATTGCACCATGACACATTCAGGAGCTGGCTTAAATTCGAGAACCTCGCTGTTATAATCATGGTAAATCTTTTTCTCTAAAACTCACAACCAAGCTCTCATTACTTATAACCTTCTATGCTGTCACTCAGCGGTTACATCTCCAAAGTCACTACAGCAGCAGCTTCAAACACTTACACCCCAGTCTACATGACAAACAATGGGGTCATCAAGAAGCATCAGCTCAGGTAGTTACATACCTCAATCAGTCTGAAGCACCTTACAAGCTTTCGTTACGCATGCTGTATTAACTTGCAATAAAATGTGTTTTCTTTGAATCCTCTTTTGCCCTCTTTTTACAGGCCTACTCGTACGTTGGTTTCGGCACACCTCAACCAACTTTGCTTCCCCTTCTACATTCCATTACGTATTAGATAAATTCCGAGCACAAGTTAGAAGGCCTACCCTCCTACTTAACTTTGTCTTGCAAGCCGTTTGTCCCCACCCACCTACACCCATCTATATTAACACTCACCTTTGTGGGCCCTCTTTTTACAGGCCTACTCGTACGTTGGTTTCGGCACACCTCAACCAACTTTGCTTTCCCTTCTACATTCCATTACGTATTAGATAAATTCCAAGCACAACTATATATATATATATATATATATATATATATATATATATATATATATATATATATATATATATATATATATATACACACACACACACACACACACACACACAGTCAGGCTTTTTAGTAAGTAATTTTTTCTTTGCAATAATAAAGAGGACCGTTTTTCTTTAATGATGGGGTGGTAGAGCTGTGAATCAAGTGGCAGTAAGTTAGCAAGGTAAATGGCAGACTGCATTAAGCAAGAAGGGAGAATTTGATTAGAGAAGCAATCATGTAATAAATGAGAAAAAAAGAGAACTGCCAGGAGAGAGCGAGAAATAATAACTGTGTTGCTGGTGGAGTGGCAAATATCAACCAATTGGGCTAGGTATTTCTAAAAATAAAACTTAACTTTTAATATAGTGATTAAGAGGTGAAATAAGCCACCACGACAAAAAGAAAAGGAAAACAAAATTCAAACAGAAATAATAATGTACATATTTACAAAACAATTATCCTGAGTGCAGCTATAATGTCTGTATATGAAAATCTGGTAGTTCTACCCAAATCTAGGGATAATGAGTACAGAGTAAGGTAGTACAGGCTGGAGCTTTGTGAGTTCAGGATAATAAAAAGACCACCCGTAGCAGACCAGCAGTATAAGGAGAATAGAACAAAATCTTAACTCCAAACAAAGGGATAAGGGGACGTCTCCCTCCCTTTTAGAAAGAAAAAAAGTAGTATTTCATAATGTGCAGCGCTGCAATAGGAATACTAAGATATCAGAAAATGATTGTAATACAGGCTCAATGGTCTGGCTAGAGATAGTGCAGCTAAAAAAGTCCAGAAATGTAGGAGGAACAAACAAGCAACATTGTATTAGCAAATAGTCCCTGCCAAACAATGTACCCAATACATGTCTGTATCAATAGGGTGATAGCAGGGAGAGGTAACGTAAATACTAAGCAAACACTAATTCTGTGCCTTTGAGGGCACCCCTTAACCCCAAATGCCTGTTACTCCTAAATGGATGTATAAGGAATGCCTCCCACCCCTAGAATCAATATAATGAAAGAAAGCTGGAGATTGTAATGCTACCAATATATGGGGACAGATTTAGTGAATTTCTGGAAACGCCATTATAAGCCGAACATGAGCTCACTCGTGATACGGTGGCTAGGAAGTATGCTTGTCAGAACCCCTGAAGCACGTTTCACCAATCTGGCTCATCAGAGGGGAACCAAGCAATCATGTAATATTTAAAAGGCAATCAACAGTCATTTGGCCGAACATATTGACATCAAAAACCAACTACTTTTCCAGACAGTGCTCAATTCTCAATGTACTATTATTATAATATTTATATAGTGTCAAAAAAATAAATTTTTACTTAAGTAACATATTTTGTCAGAAGCAGCCAGTGAGAGCTGATTTCCCCTAGAAAGGAGGTGCACAGTACTAAACAGGATAGCGGAATATGACATGGTATCTCAGCACCCACTGGGTAACACAGTGTATACAACTCTTATGGCGCCCACAAAAACATCAGGGATAATGGGCTGCAGTGTATACAGAGCTCCATGTACACACAACGATATGTTCTGTATGCAATAGATAACGTCTATCTAAATCAGCATAAATAACCATGCACAACAGCAATGGTGTGAATGCCCCGCATGCTACAGTAATAGAGTAAATACATTTTAAGATCTGCAAAAAACTACAGTATTCAATGACATGCCATACCTTTATTAAATGTTTAGAAATATAGCCTTTTCCACAGCCAAGATCTAAAGCAAAAGGAAATACCCTGCCAAATAAAAATAAATATATTATACTGTGTGTAAATACAACAAAAACTATGATCTCTAATGTGGAGATCAACACTGGCGGAACGTCCGGTGATTTTACTATCTGTAATACTTTTTATGATACTTAATAAAACGTGTTTTTATAATTTATAAACATGTGGGCCTTGATTTAATATTGTTGGGTAAGATTTTCAAATTAATTAATATTTTTGGATAAACTTTTAAAGTGATTTTTTTTTTTCATAACATTAAAATAAATGTAACATATATATATATACACACACACAGAATTATATCAAAATTATACAACTGTTTTAAAACAAACAAAAAAAAAAGATTCTACTATTAAATCATTTTAAGAGACTGTCAAAAAGATTTAACCATTTCTAAAGCTTATAGCATTTACTGGTGTGAGGGAACAAGAAACTGTTATTGTCCAGAGAAATGACAGATCCTCTATAAAGATAATTTGTTTCAGTTTTACTTACTTTGCATGCAAACTCCTAAGAAACCCAACAGAGTTCCCACTGTCAGCATGGCATAAAAACCCTGTGGCTACTTACCGGGCAATATCAAATACACGGTCTGCAATTCTTGCGCCCACCTAAAAAATAGAAATGAATACATAATGTTTGTTTTGACTTAGTACACATATGTTGTAGTTTAAGTTATAAAACATGTAAATAGGACAAATAAAATAAAAAAATTTCACCTGTCATTGCGACTCAAAAATTAGCTAAACATAACTTCACTAAAGCTCAGCAGTTATTACTACTAATAGGAGACTGTAAGCTCATTTGAACACGGTCCTCTTCAACCTATTGTTCCTGTAAGTTTTATTGTAATTGTCCTATTAAATCTCCGCTCTCATAATATTACAAAGTGCTGCAAAATCTATTGGCGCTGTATAAATGGCAATAATAATAATAATGCACATTGCCCAAAATGTGCTACCCTGCAGTACATGATTAAAAGAAAGCCCATGATGTTTTCATTGATTTACATCTGCAGTAAACAAATTATTTCCGTTTTTACAGTCCTGCTGATCACTCTGAAGATGGGAAATGTGTCCCATTATATAAAGGGACTACGAGGCAGGAGCCAAATAACCCCCCCACTGCTCCAAATTTACCCACAACCAATACTGAAAATACTGTGTTTTATATACGTATTGAATTAATTTTTATAGATCATTTTAATGTGTCTTAAAATAATAGGAACATATTTACAGGGACACTAAGCACCTATATTAGTAAAAGGCTGACTGCAATATGGAGAATTAGCTCAGCACTCTCAGACAGCCATCGACTCCCACGTTGGACAGCGTTGACAATGATAAAGCAGAGCTGTAATTTCTAAAATTATAAGGTAGTTACACAGGGGCATTTTCTAGGTTCCATGTAGAGCCCCAGGGGTTGGCATACAGAGAATATATGTGCCAACCCCTGGGGCCAACACTACACAGCTTTAGTAGTTATGGTCCTTAGAGTGACCCTATAAGAGCAATATAGTTTTTAAAAAGGGGACAGTTAAAAAAAAAGAATAGGATTATTCACTAATGTGGCAATTGTTACACAAAAAAAAAAATGTTTTTGTTTGCACTGCTGATAATTTCCACAGAAGTGAGTTAGACACTAAACTCCAAATTATGAGAATTAAGATCCAAATGAAAAATTGAGCCTAAAAAGCAAAGACATTGGCTATAAACGAGATGGAGAATTTTATCTTTTTCAGCCCAAATTTTCCCATTTCTTAACTTGCAATCATTCAGAGTTCAGTGAATTACAACGTTAAAGTTGTATTCAACAACCACCAAATGATAGTGAATAATCGAAATGCTAAATAATTTAAATTTCAATGCTTTAAAAAATTCTCCAACTCAGCTACAGTCATATACCTCCCAACATTTCAGATTGGCAAAGAGGGACACTTTAAAGGGTTTTCCAACCCTTTTTCGATTTTATTAGAATAATGCCCTGTTGGAATAAATCTGTAGATGCAACCCAACGAAACGCTTGAAGAATAATTAAATATATGTTTTTACTCCCCTTAATCTAGTGCCAGGCGAGCTCCCAGTGCTGCTCGGCACGCCCCCATCTGACATCACAGGAGCTGCGCTGAGGACCAATCAAAGGCTTCTCATAGAGAAATGTGCAGCAGGCGCTGACAACTGATGTAAAATATGCACTGAATTAACATTAGACAGCCGAAATAGAGATCTAGGCTGCCTAAGTCACATGTGCTGGGGGTGCAACTTGAACCCGTAACTCAACTAACAAAATCACTGAATGTGATTCCTACCACCATGACCTCTTTAAAAACCAGAAGTGGTCATGGTGGTTGGAGTAACCCAGTAATTGTAGGAGTCTGCGTGGGAAGGGGCAGGTTGTTCTTACTTATAATTTATACAACTAAAATTGAATTTCAAAAATTTCAGCAATACACATCAGCAATATGGAGCTCATATAAAGGAGAGACATTGGGATAGAAAAGAGGGACATAGAGATTTGTGCCCAGTATGGGGCCTGTCCCTCCTAAATCGAGAAAATTGGGAGTTTTCAATCCCAGTTAAATGTTTATGAAATCTGGGAGCTAGGTGAAGTATGTATCTATCACTTACTTCTTCCTTAAGGTAGTCATACTGCTGGGCATTGGGCTGGCATGCTGCCCAGTTCCTCTGCTTCCTTTTCATCTTCCTGTCAAACACATTGAAGGCACTCTCAGTACTGGAGCTGTATGCCATTATCTGGGGGAGGGAGCTGTGTGCCATTCTCTGAGGCAGGGAGCTGTATGCCCCTCTCTGGGGCAGGGCGCTGTATGCCATTCTCTGGGGCAGGGAGCTGTATGCCATTCTCTGGGGCAGGGAGCTGTTTGCCCCTCTCTGGGGCAGGGAGCGGTGTGCCCCTCTCTGGGGCAGGGAGCTGTGTGCCCCTCTCTGGGGCAGGGAGCTGTTTGCCCATCTCTGGGGCAGGGAGCTGTGTGCCCCTCTCTGGGGCAGGGAGCTGTTTGCCCATCTCTGGGGCAGGGAGCAGATTGCCCCTCTCTGGGGCAGGGAGCAGATTGCCCCTCTCTGGGGCAGGGAGCAGATTGCCCCTCTCTGGGGCAAGGAGCTGTGTGCCCCTCTCTGGGGCAGGGAGCTGATTGCACCCAGATGTTTTTTACCCAGGCTGTGCCACCCCCTGTTGCCAAGCACCATGTGCCTATGAGAGCAGGGGTGGAGGGCTCTCCTGCACACAGTCAGTGCCAGTCCCACAGCCCAGGGGGTCACCATGCTGGCAGACACTGCCCTCCCCCAGCTGTCAGTATACTCCCAGCATCCCCAGCCAGCTCTCTGGAGGTCTCTCTGGGTGCTCTGCAGAGTCCCAGCAGCTCACTCCCATCCACACTCCACCAAGGGCGTGAGCGCACTGCCAGCAAGCTTGGGCTCCCCCGGCCGCCGTACACGGGGTGAAAGGGCACGGCCGTGCAAAGCATTGTGGGAGGGTAACACATGGTCTGCTGCTGGCAGTCACCCGGAGAGTGTGAGTACACGGGGAACAAGGGGTTACTGAGCTCTGTGTGTGAGTACACGGGGAGCAAGGGGTTACTGAGCTGTGTGTGAGTACAAGGGGAACAAGGGGTTACCGAGCTCTGTGTGAGTACACGGGGAACAAGGGGTTACTGAGCTGTGTGTGTGAGTACACGGGGAACAAGGGGTTACTGAGCTCTGTGTGTGAGTACACGGGGAACAAGGGGTTACTGAGCTGTGTGTGAGTACACGGGGAGCAAGGGGTTACTGAGC